TCCTCGAGCACTCGGGACATGCCAAAATCAGACACTTTGCAGACCAAGTTGCTATTAACCAGGATGTTCCGTGCAGCGAGATCACGATGCACATAGCTCATATCAGATAAATACTTCATTCCAGACCCAATGCCACGAAGCATGCCCACCAGCTGAATGACTGTAAATCTGCCATCATTCTTCTGCAGAGGAAAGGAGTAAGGAACAGTCCTATTAGTGTTAGGCCAAATTAATTATCACCAACCATTTATTACTTGAATCTTTTTTGATATCTGTATCCGGTATGCAATGAAACTCAACATTATTTCCGGGCCTTTCTGACCAAAGTCACTAATTCACTAGTAGAGTGTACTCTGGAAACTGGGTTTGCTTCCTGTGATAGATGGAAATTATCCAACTGTAATGAATCTATGGCTCAAATAGCTCCACGATTCAAGAATAAATCAAATACTACCCTCACTGAACATGGATTATTTAATAGCCTTAAAAATCACATAATTCTCCATTTCTCCTCTTTCTTCCTTCGCCCCATTAAAAAAGTCTATGAATACCACCAAACAGAATGGATACAAGGAATCTGCTACAGTTTTCTAAACACCAACATTCTTGGGTTTAATATAAAGTAGTCACGTACCCTGAGGAATGCATCCAAAGAGCCATTCTCCATGTACTCTGTTATGATCATTACTGGTTTACCTAGAGTTTTCAGAAAGAAAAACACAAACCCTTGATGAGCACTGCAGTTAATGAGATAAAAATGGGCTGCGCACAATTTTACTGCCAAGACACCTGTCTTGTGCGATCTAATTTAATTAAAACAAGCCAAGCTTATGCCTCAGCTGTGGGGAGCTAGGAATGAAATATTAAAAGGAGGAGTAGGTTTAAGTCCCATCTGGAAGGTTAACCCTTTGGGTGGCTTGTTGACAAGGTCTTTAACTAAAGTGGCCTCTGGTATCCAGGGACCACATGAATGGATAATTGCTCTCTCAAGCAAAGGGGAAAACGATAAATGGGAAGGCCTGTTTAAACAAGAAAAAATCTTTAGGATAATTAATTTATTTTGTCCCCAGAAGAGCCACTTGTGCTATGTTAAAGAAGTCAATGGACAGAGAAACTTTTTTCTTTATTTAGAGAAATCCAAGTTTCAGGGAGCAGTAGCTATGCTGGATATTTCATTACTTAGACACATCTTAAAAGTCAAGCATGCACAACATAAACTGAAAAATTTCTTTCCCCTTGTGTTGCTCGGGTCAGGGCTGTATTCTTTCTCTTCCCCTTCCCTACATGTGAATAAATTTATTCTATTTGCTTCCTTCAACTACCCACTTCAAAAAACAAACAAAAAACCAAAACTGTCACAGAAAAGGTTCAGTGAATTCTTTCATCTAAGACAGGAATTTAAATTCAGTACTAGAGCAATCTGTTCCCCCTCCCTTTTTTTAGCAAAGAAATCAAAATGATTTTAAGGTCTGGGAGGAGTGGGGTAGAAACGATATTTTCATTTCACTTTAGTTCTCTTTCTGAGGACCTTAGGAAATAGAATGATTCTTCAGTTTCTTAATCATTGGCAATGGACTCAAGGTCTGAAATTCCTTCTTTCCACAGGGTATTGTTGGAGGTTGGAGAATGGTAATCCTCAATTTTTCTACTAAGGACAAGGTAAAAGAGTAAAGAGTCTGTGAAAGATTCCGTTGGAAGAAAATAACATGTCTGTTTGATACATCAAAAATATTCACACTTCTATTGCCGCCCTTGTTTGGTCTTAGATATGCAGTCAGGAAAAATAGGCTGAGATATTTCACCGCTAAAAAGAACTCATAATTATTCTAAACTAATACATTTTCCAATCAAAGACCCTGTCAGCTTATAATTTCTGGAGCGTGGAAAGGGGAAATGTCATCACTTTAAAGGCAACAATTTTGAAGAGCAGAAGTTTTAATTTCAATGAAGTCCAATTTATCAATGTGTTCTTCAATTGTGTTTTTGATGGTGCATCTTAGAAATCTTTTGGAGGCAAACATTTTGGACTAGAAAACAATGCCATGGAGATTTTATTTTTAAGTGAGAAATGAAAGCTAGCAGACAAAATAGGAATCTTGGTACAGACCAAAGGACTGATAAAACCACTTCCAGTCCTTTCCCTTGGCTGGAGGGGGTGATACCTGGACATCTTTGGATCTTCCATTAGTAGAAATAGGAAGCGCTTAGTTCTCAGATTCATTTACCCTCTACATCTGCAACCACAGTCTTCGGGCAGAACAAATACATCTAAATGAGTTTTAATCAACCTGCCTCCATCAAAAGATCCTTTGTCAACTAATGAGAAAGGGCAGCCTCTCTTGGTCATCCATTAACACCTACTTCCATTTCACCAGATTCCTCCAGAGCGTGGAGAAAAGAGCAGAAGATCTAAAAGAGTGGGGTAGTGGGCAGAATTTATGGTCCTCCTGTCAATTTTGAAAAGTTACTCAAGTAACTGCTGGTAATGAATTCACACTCTTCCATTCTACCCTTTCACCCTCGCACCTCCCTAGTCCCACTCTTGGCACCATCTTCCCAATTTGTCTGCATTCCTTTCTTCTGTTTATTAAAAGTATCCATTTGTCAGAATCTTTTATGAGCTCTACAAGAGGAGTATAGATGAAGTCTCCATAAGCAGAGGAGCTTGTAAAATGGGCCTGGGCCAGGCCTGTGGGCAGAGGGGGTTCCTTCCCTGCAACAGGCAGGGATGCAGTGGGGAGGGATGGGGAGGGGGAAGGGGATCTGCTGGGGTGGAAATGTTAAATCATTTTAATTCAGTGACAACTGCATTATGCAAATGCATCCAGTCGTTTATAACAGTTACAGCTGTAATAGCTATGGGTTTTAGAGGCGCGGTGGGGCTTTAATACAAAGATCCCCTGTTTCTTCTCTCTTCTGCAGAGGTGCTATGAAAATCACTGTCTGCGGCAGGAAAAACACCCTAAGCTGAACAGAGCCTCCTTTTTAGAAAATGGACCTGCAAAAGTGTTTAAAGGGAATGTTATCTTTTAATTAAAGTAGAGAAGGGCTCTGGGCAGCCCTGAAGGCCACAGGCAACAGAAAAATATCCTGTCTGTAAAACTAATCTTAAAAAGCAAATAGAGCTACTCTACGCTAATTACAGCCTTCACCTTAGGCAGAAAATTATATGTCCTTAACACCAAGGTGCGTTTTTTTGAAAGATTCTGAAGATTGGGAAAGATGTACCTCTTAAGACATAATAACAGTAGTGAATACTTGAGAGGTTTTTTTTTTTTTAATTTGCTATTATGCTAACCACTCTAAATATTCTATTTCATTCCAAAATAACTTTATAAGACAAGTTCTATTTTTAATTTCCATATTACAGATGAGAAAACTGAACCAGAAAGGTTGAGCAACTAGTTAAGGTCACGTGCTTTAGTATTACAGCAGTAGAGCCAGTAGGCAGGTCTTTGATCCCTAGTCCAGTGGTCCTCAAAGTGTGACCCCTGGGCTTGCGGCATTGGCTTGTGCTGTGGTGAGCCCTTTAGAAATGCCACCTCATGGGCCCCACCCCACCTGCTGAATCAGACTTCTGGGAATGGGGCCCAGAAAACTGTCCTAATAAGGTTTTCCAGAAGATTCTTATATATGTTTAAATTTGAGGACCTCTAAACTAAACTTCCACTTAAACTTGTTAGGAACCTCCTGATTTCCTCTTCCTAACGATTTTGTGCCTTGGGTCCTACTAGCCCTCTGCTTAGACCTAATGTCTTCATTTTCCTCTTTAACTTATCGTCCCCCGGCCACTTCACCCACGCTGCATGTGTTGATTGAAGATGCTTTACACAGACACCTCAGATCAAATAAGAGAGGCCTTGGCCTTCCAGGAGACATAGCCCCAGGCTTACACGATCCCTGACTTGTAGTAACTGTAGTAGGTACTATGGCTTCTGGAACACAGCCATCTCACACAGTGACTGCTCCAGCTGCACTGTCTGTGTGGCACTTTATAAGTTGGTCTTCGCCAGCTTTACAGATGTATTCAGGGTTTGCTTCGCAAAATGCATCTGTTGAGCTGTGTTGTATTTTAACTGAAGCATGGTTCACAGGCTCAGCGAATGCTAATGGACTAAAAAAAAGGAAAGTTCAACCAGGTGTTACTGTAAATAGGTGCTGAACTGCAACAGCCATAAATCAGGCAGAGCAGACAAGCAAATCCCCCAAAATAATAAAGATTCCCAAGATTCACTCTCTGCATCTGGAATTGAAGCCTCCAGTACAAGGTGTGGTGAGGTTTTGTTGTGCTATATGTGAAAAGTACTTAAAATTTATTTTGCCTACCATCTGCTTGTGCCTACCCTGTGACAACCAGTTTGGCCTAGCAAAGATTTAAAAGATGGCATGGCATACCAAAAATCTGCAATATTAATTTCCCTAAAATCTCACACAAGCTGCCTTGGAGACAGGGTATCAGCCGAAACCATAGACCCATTTAGAGCTGACTACAAGATTAATGACTTGTCCTGCACTGATTTCCTCCTATTAGCAATCAGTGGGTCTGCTCCATCTGTCATTTCCCTGGAAAGAAAATGTGTGTTTAATTTCCCAATAACTTCTAGGTTGGCTTTGTAAAGGGAGTGACCCACGTACATTTTGTGACCACGCCTTCCAAGTGAATGATGTTTGGGTGGTCAAACTGTCCCATGATGCTAGCTTCACTCAGGAAGTCTCTCCTCTGTTTGTCTGTATAACCAGCCTTCAGAGTCTTGATGGCCACACAGATCTCTCTCTTGCCAGGCACTTTGAGACGCCCACTGCATACTTCACCAAATTCACCTTTGGGAGAGAAAAGAAATCTACAATGGACCAGAAGCACACTCAAGATGAAAGAGTAATAGCTAACATTTGTTGAGTGTTTGGTACATGCCAGGCCCTGTGCTAGTGCTTTCCATAGATTATTTCGCTTAATTCTTCCCACAACCCTGAGGTAGGTGCTGTCATTAGCTCCATTTTATCAGAGACAACTAAGGCTTAATGAAGAAACCTGCCTAAAGTCTTACAGTTACTAAGACACAGAGTGAAAATTTTGAATGCAATCAATCTGACTTCAGATCACACATGCTTATTCATTACATTTTTCCTAAGAATAAAAATCAAATTTTGCCCCAGAGTCCTTTATAGCACACTGCATTTTATACTTCAAATAAGGGAATTTCATGTACACAGATATTAACATATATACATATACTACACTCATACATATATATATTAAATAATTCATATACATATATATTTAACATCTACCAAGAAAATAGACTCATTCACATATAATCAGATACTTACCAACTCCTATAACTTTTTCAATCTTAATGCAGGATGCGTCGATTTCTTTGGCAAATTCTCGAACTGCTTGGTTGGGATCTTCATATGTAAAGGGATCCACGTAAGTTCTAACACCTAAGTGATAAAGATGTGATAGGTTGGCTGAACACTTCTCAGGAACCACTAATACACGTAAATAATCTAGGTCTAAAAATACTTAGCACCAGAAAAGTTGGGTTAGCTGCACAGTCTTGACATAGGAAAATGGTTAAATTCTCACTCTGGTTTTCATTAGTAGGTAAACAAAGAGTTGTTAGCTACTTAAGAGGCTGCAGCTCTACTGACTTCCTGGAATGTCTTCACACTTCAAGGACAAGATTTGAAAAACAACCCATCCCAAGGAGGAAAAGAGAGTCTCTATAAGGAAATTTGGAATGTGTCAGCTGAATGCTATTGTCCCAAGCAGTTGCTCATAGTTCCTTTGTCCTTACACTAAGTCTTACCTACCACTTTCAGCTATCCTTCCCGGGGGAAGATAATAGCAACTTTTTTTTTTTTTCAATTGGCCCTGTCTACATAGTGTCACATTTTGCCCAATATCTGGACCAACTAAATATGTGACTGGATTAACAAACTGTGATTAAACCAAGGTTATTATAGATAAGAGGGATAATATCAGCTAGTTGATTTGGGAATATAGACTCTGGATTGGGCCTCAACCTCTATTCTGTTTTGGAAAGAAGGTGTTATAAGCAAAGATATCCAAATTCGCCTGGAAGCTTCAGTGGAGATAACTGTTGAAACCTAATTGCGAATAGTTTGGACACCAGGAGTGTAATTCAGACATATCTCATACTCACTTGCAAACTACATTCTGAATATGAGTTCAGAGGCAGCCCAGTGACAGACATTCAGGCCAAGAGGAAGAAGACATTATGAGAGTTTTCTCCTGCATTTGCACCTCTCCCTCCTTGAGCTTCTGGGGCATTGGGACACGGAGAGAATGTAGGGCAGCAATTGGCCCAGTCCCTCTAATTTCCCAAGCCTGATAGTTTTGTCCTCATCTCAGCATCTGCCGTTAGGAATAACCTACTTAAATCAGCATTTTCTTGCTACTTATTTTTAATACGTCGTTTCTGTTTTTAAACACATATACCATGTGAAAACTTTTAAAAATATGCCTTAAGAAAGGAAACAAGGTGAACAAATGGAAAGTTGTCAGACATTCCATAGCCCCCATCAATTTCTATGCTCTAGCCAAGAAAATCTTCCTCAAGACAGTTCTCTGTTACTCCCAGTCTCTGTCTTCCTTCCACTTTCCTGCACTAACGTTGAGTGACTAGCAGCATGTGTCTATTTAAATGCAAATAAGTTAAAATTAAATTGAATTTAAATATCACTTCCTCATTCACGTTAGCACATGTGGTTATTGGCTAATGTAGTGGACGCTGAAGATCTAGGACAATGTCTTCATCTCTGAAAGTTCTATTGGATGGTGTTCCTGGTCAGTCATCAGCACTGTCCAATTGAAAGTCTTCTATCTTGCTTAAAGAATTCGAGAGCCACTTTGAATTTATTCTTTGAACCCATTTGGAACATCAAAGTAACTAGAATCCACTAAAAATTATTGACAGTCACAAATTCTATAACACATACAGCTGTTCTTTGGGAAGTAGTAATTACTCTTCAATTTCCTATTCTTTACCTCCTTCTAGGAGCTTCTAGGAGAAGAATTACCTGTTAAATCTTGCTACCCAACTATGAGAATAACCCAGCTAGCCCAAGGCTTTTTCAGGATCGAGGATAAAATAATGAAAAGGAAGAATCTAAAAGAACTTCCCCACCCACCCCCATCTTTAATCTCATTTGAAATAATCTCAAATCACCCATTTCACTTTGATACCCTTGCAGTACATTATTTGAATAAGGAATATGTAATATAATATTAATAGCCACATTAATGTTATTTAGACCTTTCTAAACTAGAAAATATGAGACCTACTCTAAAAATAAAAATTTTAATCCAATTATTAGTACCTTGATTCAAATGTTTCTCTTCATCCGCTTCTTGTTTTGCTTTACTGTATTTACTCCGTCTGTTAAAAAATTTTTTTAAAAAGCAAAATTATTTTCCTCCAACACAAAAGCTGTAACACAAGCCATGGGACAAGTTCTTTGCTACCATAATGTAAGTCAGGCAGATACACTATGCACATTTCAAGATGAGAAACTGAAACTTACAAGAGGTGAAATATTAATAACAAGGTAAATAATTTGTCACCTGGGTGGTGAGTCATGGTTTCAGGCCCAAGCACTCATAGTCCAGAGTTTCAGCTCTTGACCACAATTTTAAATTGAGGTGTCTTACAATAGATAAAGCAAATATTTTTTAAGTATAATTTCAAATTCCCAGAGGAAATTTATTTTATTGAAAGATAAGTTTATTGGCTAGTTTATCCACACACACACACACACACACACACACACACACACACACTTAATTAAAAGAAGTTCCCATGGATAATTCTGCATAAGTCAAATGGCAATAATGTTCAGTGTGTGATGCCTAATAGTAAGTCCTATTGCTATAACCGTGATAGCCACTACCACAAAACTCATTATCATATCACATGATATTCTTGAAACAACAGTTTTGTGGTTACTGGTTTCAGCTGCTGCACACAAATTCCTAAATTATTAATAAAAATTTAGAAAGTAAATATTTGCTTTGTATTGGATTACATTCCTTAGGATTTTGTAAAAAACTAGTAAGAGTAAAAATGAGAAGTTTTTATTTGCTTTACCTAATTGTCTTTCAATAAAATAGCGTATGGGCTCAAAGTTGGCATTCTGCTCCTATGTCTTGTTGGAGTGATATCTGACTCTGTTTTAAAGCTTTGGGAATTAGAAATCTTTAGTACATGTAAATCTGGAATCAGGGATACATACACACACACATCTATCACTTATATAAATGGGAAAATGAACTCAAGCCTTGGGAATTAAAAATCTTGAATATATACAATTCTTGAATCAGGAGGATATATATTACTTAAAGGAATTGGAGAATCAACTCAGTTTATATTACAGCTGTCTAAGTTTAAGAAGTTGAGACCAAATTAGTGAATAAAATGTATATATTTATGTTTCTGTGAAAAATGTAAAATGTACAATCATCTTGAGTTATCTTAGAGCTTCAAAGACAAGTTAAGCCAAGGCTCTTACAGAAGAGGAAACTGAGGCTCTGAGGTGAGAAAAGATTTCCCCAAGGCCAAAGAGTGTCTTGGCAGTGTGGCCAGAATCTGACACTCTAACTCCTGAACTTCCAGCAGGTAGAAAGGCCAGAGGACCATGTAAAAGAGAAAACAACAGAGAACCCACAGGAGCCAGGTAGTGCCACCAGCCAGGCAGCCCAACTAGGGTCATGTGTTCAAAGCTTCCCTCCCACATTCCTCTAATTGTCAGCAGTGTAGGAACCAGGCAATCAGACCCTCAGAACCCGCAGATGTTTCTCTGTGTGGATAATTCCCTTGCAAGTAATAATACCTTGCACTTTCACACTGCATTTAACTTTTCAAAGTGTTCTCATCAAATATATTATCTCCTCCCTGAAATGTTTGCAAAGCAGGAACCAGCTTAGCAAAATAAGAGACCCCAGTTAATACAGTTAACTGTGAAGTGTGTATTTCAGTCCCAAATCATAGCTTGCATTTTCCTTTGCATTTAATTTGTGAAAGGGCCTTCAAAGGGTCTATTATTTAATTGCATCTTCACAGTAACCCTATGAAAGCAATCAGGTGGATAGACACACACTCAGTTTCATTGTACAGATGGGGACGTAGAGCCAGAGGGGCAAGTGATTCATACACGTACCTTCTTAGCAAGTACAGGATTTTGTGAGCCTTAATCTAGCCCACAACTTCACAGTGACTCTCATAGTGTAGATTAGTTACACAAGGATACCCGATAAGAGTTAATTGTGAGTAATATTACATTTTATATCAGTAAATCCACTTAAATTGAATTCAACTGCTCTTAAACTCCATTGCTTCATCAAAGAAATTAAACAGGTTTAAATACCCTGAAACTAAACAACTTTCTACAAAACACAGAGTCCTCTGCAATCCTCCCTTCACCCCCCTTTTCTCCCCTCTTTTAAAGGAAATGTAAGAGTGTTAGGTCAGGGACTGCTAAAATAACATTTTATGTCAGGAAGATGCCACTGCTGGGTCCCCAGGGTGTGATAGGGTCCTGCCAGCCTGAGAGATTGTGTCTTATCAGAGCTCCTAAAAGCATTATCTAAAATTACAAGCATATCTTTTAAACCACTTAAGATCTAGAATACTGATTGGAATTTTTTTTCTTTAAAGAAGGAAAAAAAAAAGATGCATAGAGCTGGAGAGCTTTGGTACCAACTTCAAATTGTCAGTGAGTTAGTGAAAAAGGTGGCACACGCCATAGAAACACGTGTCCTGAAGCTGCCCAGGAGTGTGGTTATCTGTTTGACATCAAGCACATTCATTCAATATGTGCAAAGCCAGAGGAAATACAAAATGGCAGGGGTCATTAATTACAAGGCTGACACGCCCATCCCTGCCTCAGACTTCTAAACACAGAAGGAGGAATTAAATTAGTGATAAAGGGGTATTTTTAAAGAGTCTTCTTTACTTGGAGTGTTATTTGGAGAAGACCCTACAAGAGGTCAGGGAATGCCGAAAAAGAAACACGAGGATTACTGTTCAAAGGCTAATTATAGCCTATTTGCTTTTTAATAATACCTTGAAAACAAAAATGCCTATGTCCCTCTCTACCTTTGCCACCTGAGGGTCCTTTCTCCTTGGCTCAGGGTAGGACAATGTGGCCCGTTATTGTCCCAAGAAAGAAAGCCCATTGAAGCTCACTGTTGGGTCAGCCCGCCCGGAGGAAACCGCACAGCCTTAGGAAGTGCTAACTCTAAATTAACATGGGAGGATCACCTGAATGGCCGAAGGAAATCTTTGTTGAAGATTTTCTAATTATGGAGACATGGACAAGCTGATTAAAAGAGGAAGAAGGAGGAGTGGTTTGTTAGCAAATGCTCCAGAAGGAAACATGGAACCTTTCAACCGCAGGAGTTATAGAAAAAGGTGAAACTTTGAAAGACTGTGAGCTGAGCCCTCCCCAGGTCCAAGGGACATGGTAATAAAGGTATTAACCCACATTGTTGGGGAACAGCAGGAGCCCTCCCAACCCATGGTCCTTGCTGGCACCTTGACTATTCAATAAAACAAACAGAACAGAGATGAGAGAGCATGGCAGGGGCACAGCATAAACCCTGCTTTTATTAAAGTACTAACTCCCCTGATTAAGTGGACAGATTTGATTGATGTGGTTCACTGTTCTGAAGCTAATTAGTAAAAGGTAAGTAATTATTCAGCTGAAGTGCATATTAAAGAAGATAAAGCAATGTAATGACCAGCATGGCTCCAGGAGGACCCTTCCCAGTGTTGAAACGGCATCACCCGTGAAGATTCATAGAAGCCATCCTTCTTTTTCCCCTTCCTTAAGCTGTCGTTGTTCTTGCATCAAATGATGTCTAAATGTTCTTCACGAGCAACATTTTGAAGTGGTTGGAATTGAACCATACAATTGCATGCAAGTTGTTTAGAAATGTTCCCGAGGTACCATCTGCCCCCTAATTGTGTGAATTTACATGACTTCATCAGAGCCGATTTAGGCTAACATTTAAGTGTATTCATTCTTATGTGATCATAATATTCCATGGAAGAAAATTGGAGCACCAGGGAAGATAGATACAGGCTGAACAATAACTGTTATAGCATTATGTGAACTCTTAGTTCCAAAGTGGAAAATCTTCACTTTCAATAAGAAGACAAAACAAACTTGCAAACTCTGACTGTATATCGTGCATTGGACTTGCACATTAATTCAACAAATCTTACCAACATCACTAAGAGACTCTTGAAATTTTGGTTCAGTAGAACTGCCAATGTCAGCTTTTTATGTAGGTCAATTTTTTCAGTTAAGAAGATATGAAAATAATATATGCCAGTATTGGCAGTTAGGAGAGTTGGACTCCTGTCCTGATCAGCCAACTAACTAGCTGTGAGATCTTGGTTTATTTCATTGTTTGACCTCTTCAGGCCTCCAGTATCTAATAGTAAATTTTGCCTTAGCCACTTCATTGTTTTTCTTAAAATCAATTCACTTCTTTCCCTTATTCAGATAAAAGGGGGTGCTTTATAACATAAAAACCCAGTATCACTGGTAATCATTAGAAAGACAGAATTAAAGCAGCATATGCCCTGTTATCAGTTAATACTTTCTCCTGATCACCAAATTTTCCATTAATAATTAGGGACACTTATTGTATTGTAGTCCTCAAGATTGTTTCTCATATTTGAACAATAAAATACAATTTGGGGGAAACGAACTAGCTTAAAACAATCTGAATCAATACTAGTTTGGGATGGTTTTGAAGATAACCTGATGAAATCATTAATATAAAAGGGGAGGAGATGTCTGAGAAATTTAACACAGATTTAATCATTAGTACTGAAGGTTATGACCTTACAATTGCATTTTATTATGTCATTGTTAACAGTCCTTTTAAACATCACTTTAAAAGGCAATAAAGAAAGTGGTTACACTGTGGAGATCACAAATATATAAATATATAAAAGGAAGAAATGGTGCCTTGCTGCTAAAAGAATGTGTACATGCG